TTGTTAGTATCAAAAACTTAAATGTGATCAAATAATGTTTACCTTTATACAGTATTCCCTTTTATGTTCACAGTTGGACACAAAGCAGACTTCTCTGCAGAACATTTGGCACATGCCCTATTTGGTATGTCTGAAGCCTGGCACAGAGCTTTTTATGAAATAAAAAAAGTGCTTGGCTTCCTTCCTTATCACTACTTTGGGTACAATATTCCAGAAATTAACTTATTAAATCACCCTGTTAAGGGCTTACTAATGTGGGATTAATTTTCTACCCATCAAAAATGAATCAAATTATTCTACAACTTAAGTATAAAATGTAAACACAAAAATATGATCTACATTTTTAAAAGATCTATAATTATCAAAATAAAATAGAGCCTCTTTCTGCTAATCCGTAAAGTATATAAACTGCAATTTGATGCAGTGCCCAGCTGCTTATTTTGCTCAGCAATTAGTTCAATCAGAAATGCACATATTATGAATTAAATTAAATCCAGCAGAAGTAAAATTTTACTTGGTGAATTTGATTCAAATTGATTTACTTGCTATTGATACTGCAACCTTTTTTTAAATTATTATTTTGAGGATGTTTTTCATGAGAAAACTCAGCTTCTTCTCTTTGATCTTAGCATCAACTGTTATGCTCTGATTGTGCCAATAAAGAAATGCAAGTAGCTTTCATACATAACCCCTCTATTACACTATATGACACTTCATAAGAAGGTACAGACAGAGAAATAAAAAGCCACTGATGGCTGAAACATTTCAGTGAGTATCAGAACCCGTACTGTACACAGCAGTAAATATATACGCATATGTGTATACTATATATAAATCACAGAGTAAGATGGTATGTATCCTTCACTAACAAATGGACATCCGGGATTATTTCAGGAAAATGGAAGTAGGTGTACAAAGAAGCTGGAGAAAGAATTTCACTTTTTACTCCACATGATTCTATACTGTGTTAATTTTTATAATGAAAATGAATTCTTCTATTGCTTATGTTTAAAAACGAACCGTGAAAACCGATGGCACTGATACAGTCCTTATGGGCACATGGGACACTACACTCTGTAAAACCCCTGTAGCCTTTCTCAGACAACTCAGTTGATGTGATAGCCCCTCACATCAAATGCTAAGCTAGTGAATCAAAATTATATCCCCCGGGCTACACGTTATAAATTTTATGCTACAAATTCATATCTTATATCAATTTCATTCCGAGTACTTCTGCCTCCTGTTCATAGTTCAGTTTGTCAGTTTAATTTGGTGCTGCTTTGTAAGAATCCACAATAATTACAATGTTTAACGCTATACCTTAAGGTTGAGCTAAACAGAGTGGTTTAAATGCATACATTCTGGGCGGTCTTTGACTCCCAGCCCACCTCTACACACACCATACACACACTCACACACACGCACTAGTTGGTGTTATATAGTATATCTTTAATCTTACTAGCTATTCTCCTATTACCTTCCAGAGTATATTTGAAGATGACATTGTTATTGATGCTGCAGTAAATAGCTAATATATGTAGTAAATGTACACACACTATAATGAATTAAAATGACGTACTCATCCGCCAAACTCCTCTACTCATTCTAATGAGATAATGTTTTGTTTTGTTTTTTTCCTTTCAGTGTATACAAAAGGAAGCAGCAGCATTGGGAGGAAAAAGATAATTCGTAAAAATTAAAAGTTTTGTTACCTTCGAGGTTCACTGTTCAGCCTGGGAGTGGACAGCCCAGTAAAACCATGAGAGTAACGAGGTACAGGAGTCTAGTGACAAGGCCCAGAAGGCAGAAGGCGAGTAGGAAGCCGATGATAGGGAACACAAAGTAGAGTAAGGATATTGTTGATGTGTTGTGAGATTGTTAACCATTGTCACAGGGCAACATTTGTAGTAACTGTTAAATGGGAGACTATTTTGTCTGGTAAGCCTTCATCTTAAGTGAGAATGACAGCACAATTAGAAGAGCGTAGTCAATGTCACTTAAATGTGTATGTAAAAAAATTTTTGAAATGGCATATCTTTGGCTATGTGTATTTTCACCAAAAAAAAAAAAAAAGTTGAGAATTTAGAGGGTTAAAATGTTGTGGGGTTGTTAACCAATGTCATAAAACAGTATGTGTGCTACTGTTACATGAGAAACTATCTGTTCTGTAAGCCTTCACCTGAAGTACAATAAAATATTAAAAAAAAAAAAATTAAAAGTTTTTATTTACTTTTTACAAACAAAAGTAAATGTTTAGGTCATTCAGACTAGAAAGGAAGTTCATCTAAAAGATTGTGTCACAAGGCATGTAATTCTAATACAGTTCCACATGTAGTCTTCTTAATTTCAAGTCTTTTGAGTCACGTAGCTCAGTTTCACAAGAATAGCTAAAACATCACCACAAACTTTCTGGAATCCATCCTGTAGGAAAAGTACGGGTTTGTTTTGTTTTTGCTTTTTGTTATTGTTGTTATTAATGATCCTACATAAATCTGGAATCCTTCTAACTTTGACAGAATTTTTAGTTTATAAAATGAGGTCAAAATAATTATTTTTAACATTCTCTATTTTTCTTAGGGAAGTGTTATTAGTAACTTTCTATCTTTTAATTTTTTGTTGTTTGTTCCTTGAGGACAGAGTCCATCCTTATTTTAAAAAAATGAAAAAGAAGACAACAATAAATAATTAGAAAAGAGACCTAATCAGAATGTCCGAGCAAGAGTACAGTTTAGGGTTAGAAGAGAAGTTAGAAGTTTGGAGTCTGACTTCTTGTTGTTGTTAGCTGCTGCTGAGCCGGCCCCAGAGTAGAACTGCTCCACAGGGTTTTTTTTGCTGTAATCTTTACAGAAGCAGTTTGCCGGACTTTTCTTCCGTGGAGCCACTGGGTGGGTTCGAACCACCAACCTTTAGAGGTTAGTGCCACCCAGGCTCCTTAGAGTCCGACTACCTGCGTTCATTTCCCAAACTCCAGTGCTTATTAGCTAATAGGAACTTCAGCAGGTTCCTCTCTGTAGCTCAGTTTCCTTATTAGTAAAATGAGTATAATAATGGTACCTAATCTTCACAGGATTCTTTTAAAGATTAAATGGAATAAAGCAGTGCTTAGTAGATGCCTAATAAATATTAGTTATTATTATTAGCACAGATTAGGAAATTGAGTCCTAGAGAGTTTAAGTGCTTTTCGCAGGATGATTTAACTACCTAATGGTAGAATTAGCACTAGGATCTGGGGCTCCTGACTTTGGTTTCTTCTCCTTTAAGATCCCTCTATTTGTAGTCTGGAGATTACTTTCAAAGGACAAAGTCGGATGGCAGAAAATCCCTCAGATAAGCCTGGTCTAGATTTAAAAGAAAGAGGAACTTTGCATGCACATATCCGAGCATGTGCACACACATACACACACACACCAAAATAAGAAACAAAAAGGATGCGGGGGAAGGGGGAGAGGAAAAATGGCAGAGACACGAAACCTCCAACTAGATTTTTTAATATGAGGCAATTCATTAGAACATAATTACATTTCTTATTAAATGATTAATCATAAGGTTAGAAGAAAAGGTCATGTTAATGTTAATTATACCTCCTTTAAGGAATTTCAAAGATGTTAAAGAAGTTACTCTCACAGAGTGTTGTTAGGTATAAACTAACTCAAACTCTTGGAAGGTAATCTGGCATTGTCTTTAAAAATAAAAATGTAGATATCCTTTCACTAATTCGTACCAGTAGGGAGAATTTACCCTACAATTAATTTGAAGGAGTGTGCAAAAATGTGCACAAAAGGATGCTTGGTTCATTGTTGGCAGTATCAAAACTTGGAAACAATTTAAGCATTTACAAATGGAGAAATTACAATTATGAAGGAATTATGTGATATATGGAAATATATGGGAAAATACAGAAAGTTTCTCTAGATATTATTAAAGAAAAATCAAAGTATACAAGACTTTGTGCCAGAATAACCTACATCTGTTTTATAAATAAAGGATATAGCTACATGTATGTATTTGCACAAGAAAATGCTGCAAAGTCACTCAAGAAGCTTAACAGTGATTCTCTCTGAAAAATGGAATTTAGGTCAGGGGACTAGAAGACAGAGAGGAGACATTTACTTATTCCAGATTTTGTGTGTGTGTACATATATATATATTTAAAATGATTATTATTATTTTAGTATGTACATTTATGCAAGGTATGGAAGCCCCTGAAGTACACAATTTGGCCTTTGATCCTGGTTCCCGAGAGCTAGATCACACCTGAGGCCAAAGAGTGGGGGATGACTAGACCAAGAGGGACCACCTGGGGGCCCTCACTGACTAAGCCTCAGGAGGCATAATGTAATATATCATGGCCACATGGTGAGGCCGATAAAGGCCTTGGAAGACAGAGGCTCAGTGGAGCTTTCTGGGTGGACAGAGTGAACATCTGCTCTCAGGAGAGTAAGCAAGTCCCCTGGGAACATGGAAGCTTTGTACCCAGATCTCTCCCAGACCTCCCCCTATGTTGTTTGTATCCTTTTTTCGACTAGATTAAAGATAGGTCTTTCCTTGGAGCTTGTGAGTATTTCCAAGGGATTACCAGACCTAAAAAACAGAGAAAGGGACAGTACCCACTGACCTAGCCCCTGGTGGAAGACGATGAGAGACAGAAGCGCTACGTAGAGCAGCTGGGGTCTGAACTGCCCAGGGAAAGGAAGCAGAGGTTTCCATAGGACACACTTGGCACGTGGAGTGGAATTTATTATCCACCACACATCTGGCATCAGAGGTGGATGATCTCAGCCTCTTTGGACGAGTACAATACAACTGGTGACGAAAAAGTGGGATTCGCTTGAGTGGTCCTGATAGCTCAATATGTTCATTTTTTAACTAAAGGGAAAATAACAAGTGAAAATAAATCAAAGATTTTAAAGAAATAGAAAGAGGCTAACAGGAATAATGTAGGACAAATTTAAGACTAGAGAATTTGAAGGTTTCATCTCTATATAGCTGAACAGTCTTACCTGACACTTGGCACCACAGTATTTGGCAACTCGGCATTGAGAACATCGTAGCAGCTTTTCCTTCCTGATAAAAAAATAAATTCCACCTTAGGAAATGAGTGAGAATCATATATAATGGAAGAGAAAAAGCATAAATCAACATTTGGATGCCAATATGCTCTGCTTACTCCGTATGTACAGTCCTCTAAAATTCAGAGTTTCACATTGATGAATATCCTTTCACCATCACGTGAGACATTTACATAATAGCTAATGTTCTAACATAAACCTAATTAAAATAGAGATTCCCATTTAGACAAAAAAATTTCATTCCACAGAAATGTTAATTTCTCCATATGTAATTCAGAATCCAGCCCATCAACTAGTTGAAAGAATTCTACACTCTTCAAATATAAAAATTTTATGTTTTAAATTATCATATAGTTTAATTATTAAAAAAATACTCCTTCTGGGAAATAACTTCTAAATTCTACTAAATTCTATTATTATTTTAGACATGGTGAATTAAGACGTTCAGAAGTTTTTACTCCATATCACCTGAGTAACAACAACAACAGAAAGAAAAACATGAACTATAAATGTAATGGTGAAACTAACAGTGACAAACATCATATAGGAATGTGGACACTTTCAAGGGGACTAAGAGCACTCAAAGTCAATTTAACATTAAAGGCAAAACAAGCCTAAGCATTTCTGATGTGCCAGGCACTGTTCAAAGTTCTTTACATCTAATAACTCACAGCAAACCTCAAATAGTCCTATAAACTAAGCAGTCTTATTATGTCCACTTCAGAGATACTTAAATATATTTTTAGGAGATAAAAAGTAGATGGAATAGCACTAACTAAGGAAGCATACCATATAGTTCAGGTGGCAGGTGATAGTGAAAGGATATGAATGGAATCCCACAGACTATCAGAACTTGAATACACCACGTACCTGGGAGAGCTGGTGTGTTATATGGAGCATAAAACATAGGCACGGGTTAAAAAGTCTAAATAAAGCAAAGTCAAATCACCTCCCACCCTCAAGTACAGAACTCTAGCGGCCAGATAGCAAAACCCCAGGCAACAAACCAAACCTAAGCAATTTGGCCCTAAAATTCTTGCTCTTAAAATACTACTATAGTACCACTCTTGGATAAAATAAAATGTACCCACAGGCTATTTATAAGACACAATTCAAACAAAAGGACATATAAAGGTGGTATGAAAAAGATATTCTAGGCAAATATTAACAAGCAAAAAAACAAAACACCTGTGTAACTATACCAATATCAGAAAAAAAAGAAACTTCTGTTGTTGTTGTTGTTGTTAGGTGCCATCCAGTCACTTCCAACTCATAGCAGCCCTATAGGACTGAGAACTGATCCATAGGGTTTCCAAGGAACTGCTGACCTTTTGGTTAGCAGCCGAGCTCTAAACCACTACACCACCAGGGCTCCAAAGGAACTTTAGGGTTAAAAATAGTTATTAGAGATAAAGAAGGTTAACATATAATGATAAAAGACTCTAATGACCAGGTGTTATACACCTAGTAACATAGCCTCAAAATATATAAAGCATAAGTAACAGATCTATAAGGAAAAATGACAAATACACAGTAAGTTAATACATGTAAGCCCTCAAAAAATGCCTGCAATATAATTACCATATAAATGTTAGCTATCAGTATGAAAAGATATTATAAACTCCCTCTCAGGAGTTGATAGATCAAATAGACAAGGATTAAATAGTGTTATAATGTGCTTGATCTCATGCAATACATAGACCCTGCACCTGTTATGTAAATGTGTAACCTCACATTCTCTTCAAGTACCAAGTGGGCATTTGCAAAACATGTCCACATACTAGGCCACAAAGCAAATCTCAAAAATCCTGTAAGAATCAAGATTATTTTCTTCAATCAGAAAGGAATTAAATTAGAAATCAATAACAAAAACAAACCAAGTAAATCTCATATTATGGGAATTTAAAAACATCAATACTTCTATGCAATTCAAGGATCAAGAAAGAACTATAATGGAAATTAGAAAATACATTAAGGCTGAATAATGAAAAAATGTATCAAAACTTATGAGATAAAGCTAAATGTTTATGTTAAAAGAAGACTGGCTATAAATGAGCTAAGCATGCAAATCAAGAATTTAAATTTAAAAATAATTTAAAAAAAAACAAAGAAAGCATAAGGTAGGAATTTACGACAATAAGGCAAAACTAATGAAATAGAGAACAAAGATACAAGAGGATAAACAAAGTCAAAAGGTTAAAAAAAATTCAACAAACTTCTTACAAGATTTTAAAAAAAAAGAGAAACAGTACACATGTAAATAATATTAGGAATAACAGGGAACACAAACCCTAGTGGCATAGTGGTTAAGAACTATGGCTGCTAACCTAAAGGTCGGCAGGTCTAATCCACCAGGTGCTCCTTAGAAACTCTATGGGGCAGTTCTACTCTGTCCTATAGGATCGCTGTAAGTCAACAACAGGTTTGCTTTTTTTTGTGTTGTTTTTTTTTTAACTCGAGGTTCAGCAGTGATTTTAAAAAAACAAGAGAGAATTCTGGGAAAATGATAGCAAGGATATAGTTCTTTTTAATCTTGGTGACTCTCCCCATAAAAAGACAGAGCAAGTAGAACAGCAAAACCTAACTACCACTCCCCATCCTTGGAACACATATACAACAACCCCAAACTATGAATAGGCAGAAAAACATTAATAGCACTAAGACCTGTATAGGGATCTCATGGCACAGCGGTTAAGCGCTCGGCTACTAACCAAAAGGTTAGCAGTTTGAACCCACCAGCTGATGTGGCAGTCTGCTTCCGTAAAGATTACAGTCTTGGAACCGCTATGGGGTAATTCTACTCTGTCCTATAGTGTCGCTATGAGTCGGAATCAACTCAATGGCAATAGGTTTGGTTCTGGGTTATTTTAAAGACGTATATGAAATCAGTATTTTTGTGGGAAGAAACAAAGAAGGCAACTAGGCTTCCAGTGTACCTGGGAACAAAAGAGCCTCAAACTGCCAAAAGATACACAGTGGAAAGTGTGCCAAGCCAATCTAAGAACTGCAGCTAAAACTGGGAGAGGGTTCTTCATGTGGCAGCCCTTGGACAAATGAGATTACTGGGGCTTCCCTGAATCCTGCCTTCCTCAAGCCCAGCTGCTCAGATTGTCCTTCATCTCCCTTTTTCTTTTGTAAATTATCCAGAGGCTGTTTCTGTTGCTTGCGACTAAAGATCTCCAACAATACAAAGTGTTCTCAACTAAAAAAAAAATAGGAGCAGAATCAAGATGTATAAGACCAGTGATGAACACGCTAGCAATTATCAGCACTTGGTTCTCCATCTCCATTCCATAGCTACCAACCAGCAGCTTTAATGAGTTTTAACATAGAATTTCAGCAAAGTAAAAAGCAAGATGACTCAAAGTACCTGAATAATTTACTTGTCACTTGATGTATGATACAAATTCCTTAATGTAAGTTATGTAAACATTTGGGTTATTTTTATATACCAAACAACTTAACAAATTAAGTTCTCAACTTTCACAAATAAGGTCACAATTGAATCCAAAAGAGAAGCTGTGTGTACTCGAGTAGACCCACCACTGAGATTTGAAGAGTTGCTGCTTTTCTTTTTTGGGTAAGGTTCCCTTGTAAAGAAATCCTTGGGCAACAGTGAGAGAGGACAGGAAGTGGGAGAAACATAGCCACCAGGGAGTTCATGAAAACATTCCCTTTTCTCTTAAAAAAAGGAGCACATGGTTTCAAATTGAAAGAAGCAGCCAACATTCAAAGACAAAAAAGCAATGAGAAATGTTCATGACAAATTAAAAACAGAATTAATTAGCAGTTCTATCGAAAAAAAGCACCACTTGCTGGGGGGTGGGGTAGCTCCAGAGATTAAGATGTGCTTTTTTCAATTTTTTACTGCTGATTAACTCTGTTTTTAACAGTTTATACTCAACTACTAACCTAAAGGTGGGCGGTTCAAATCCACCCAGTGGTACTGCGGAAGAAAAAGCCTAGCCATGTGCTACTGTTAAGATTATAGCCAAGAAAATCCTATGGAGCAGTTCCACTCTGTAACACCCGAGGTCACCATGAGTAAGAACTGACTCAACAGTAACCAATAAGAAGCAGAGATTGAAACAAGAAATACTGAATGGAAGTTAGAGAGGGGTAAACTGTGTCTAAGCATCAGGATTTTTCTGGTAACAGCAACTGGTCAAAATCAAATGAAGTGCCTTGAGGACCATGGAGTTCCCAGTCATAGGAAGTGTTCAAGCAGAGCTGGTAGGAACATTTGCTAGACCGTTGTAAAGGAAATTCCAGCACTGCAAAGGAGAATGAATATGATAAGTTTCCTTGCATTTCCAAAATTATTTGGTTCTGTTTCTCCTGTGCAACCAACAAATATAAGCTAAGTTTGAAAAGATGATAGAAGTTATACATAAAGGTATAAGCATGGTACTCTCACAGCAGTAGAGAAGTGCTGAATATACAATTTTCACCTATCGCCGAAATATCCTGCTGCCAAAATAATTACCTCAAAAGTCCATTCAGAACTGGGGCTTCTGAATGAAAAGCAATCTAAAGTAATAAGTTAGAAATATATAAGTAGCAGAAAATTGAGTAAACTCTTACCTTTTTTTCCTCCACATAGAAGTAAATATTTTCTCTCCAAATAAGAGAAGATACTGTAATTATTTTATACCAAAATAAATAGAATTCTTGAGCTCACGCCCAAAAAGAAAAAAAAAGCAAAAGGAATTCCCTATTACTTGTTCATACAAACTCTGATATGCTACAGAACAGTGTGTCAAATACAGAAAAATCTTAGGTGCTCAGTGTCCCAGATACAGTGCTTCATAAGGCATAACAAGTCCTCTCTTCCAAATAAACACTGGGCCATAATTAGTTTCTCCAACAGTCTAAGCAAGTAAAATGTGGAAAGGATACAAAAAACTGAGCAAAATTAATTGTCCTTCCAGTATACAAATTAAAAAATCAGATATGAGCTTTGGGGGGAGTCATTCTAAGAAAACAAAAAGCAAA